ATTACTGTTTATAATGGGGAGGAGGTAAGTTGCATGATAGACGGTTGCCTAAGACCTGAGGAAGTAATATCTAGGAGTCATGAAAGACGAGGAAAAACTGCCTCGGAGAGGTCCATGGCAGAACATTCCAGGCGAGGGGTCCAATATAGAGACTCTGCCAGTACTTCTCCATGTGTGGTGGAGGCAGTATTACTGCTACAGGCTGAGGTCATTTTAATCCTGATGTACATGTTTTGCAGATGCTTTCTATTTATTTCAAGGGGTTATGGTTTTCCATTTACAGTAGTGATACAAAGGTGTGTTTTTTGAGTATATTTTTATTGATATCATTGCGAGAGGGAGAAAGAGATAGAAACATCAATGATGAGAGAAAATCATTGATCAGCTGCCTCCTGCACGTCCCCTACTGGGGATCAAGTCCTTGACCAGAATGGAACCTGGGACCCTTGAGTCCATAGGCAGATGCTCTATCTACTGAGCCAAACCAGCTAGGGCTCAAACAAACTCTTATAAAACGTTCTCTACAGGTTTAGACGTTCTCACCTCAACACCCATGAACCTGGCCCTGCCTCTTTCTCTGCGTGTCTCCCTGCTAGGCTGTCAACTCCGCTGTGTGTGTGAGGTGGGGACCGGCACAGTGGGGTGAATGACCATGTGGACATGCGTTCAGGTGCTCGGTTACTAGGAATGGCTCCGGGCTCTGACCCCAGCCACCCTCCTTTTTAAAAAGGTCGGGCTTGGCTCCCAAAGGAGCTGCTGGGCCTGGCCTCTTGGCGCCGGGCAGGGAGGTGGCCCTCGGGACCCCCCTTGCCCAGCCCCTCCTGCAGGGATCTGCTGACCTCTCGGGGCTCGGTTTGATCTCCCATACAAGGAGGATGGGGTCATTTCTAAGACCTGTCCCAGGTCGAAAGCCCAACGCTCTGGGCTCCCTGGCTGGGAGCGTCTTGGAGGAGGGTCTGCAGGAATCACTGGCTGGTGAGTGCAGAAGCTGCTCTGGCCCTGGGAGCTTGGGGAGGGAGGGGTTGTGGACGAGGGTGGGTTCCTCTGGAAGCGACTCTGTGCCCTCTGTTAACGCTGTCTTCCGCATGTGCTGCTGGTTCCCAGGTCCCGGCCCCAGCAGCCAGGGACACCTGAACCCGAGTGTCACCGCCCCCTCTCCCTGCCTGCGTGACTCAGTCTCTCCCACCTCCATTTCTCTCGTCTGCACAAAAGGATAATGATACCTTCCCCTTAGGCTTTTAAAGAGGATTTGAAGAGGAGATTATATGTGACAGGATAAAAATGTAACTTGATCAAGTTACTAAATCAATTCTACCAAATTCCCAGAGGGGAAGGGAGGGAGGGTGGGAGGGAGGGATGGAGAAGAGGGGTTTGGAGAGAGAGAGAGAGAATCTGAGCAGGGGACAGGGGCGAGCCCCTCAGAATGGGGATGGGGCAGGGGTGGGAGCTCCCTGGGTCTCTTGGGCATGGCTGTGTGGGCACCGGGGGACCCTCAGCCTCGATAAACTTCCCAGGGCCCCAAACTTGGCCCGGAAGCTGCAGGATCTCCCGCCAGGAAGGGGTTGCATCCTGTGTGGAAATAGGCGTCTCCATGGTAACCAGGGCAGCCGGATGATGTGGCCCAAGGGGCCTCCTCTAAGCTCTGATGCTGCAGAAACCCCGTGGCCTAGAGAGAGCCCTGGGGAACCCCCGGAGGCCCTGGTAGGTGGGATAGTAACTGGCTCAGGATTTAGCTTGATTTTTTTTTTAAAGTCAAATAAATGGACTATTGCAGGTGGTGAAAATTCATGGAGCTGGAGCCTGTATGCTGGAGTGCTTTCCTGTGCGTGTCAGTGACACTCTGCCCCTCCCCCCTCCCTCCCCACCCCAGCCAGGCTTTCTTCTTGTTCTGGCGGTTTTCTTGCATTCTTTATCTGGGAGCTATCACCCATGTGTGTAAACCAGTGATTCTCAACCTTCTGGCCCTTTAAATACAGTTCCTCATGTTGTGACCCAACCATAAAATTATTTTCATTGCTACTTCATAACTGTATTGTTGCTACTGTTATGAATCGTCATGTAAATATCTGATATGCAGGAGGGTCTTAGGCGCCCCCTGTGAAAGGGTCGTTCGCCCGCCAAAGGGGTCGCGACCCACAGGTTGAGAACCACTGGTGTAAACGATCTAAATGACTGGAATAGTGCATGCTCCCCCCCGCCACACACACACACACACACACCTTTCCAGTAATTGAAGGCATTATTCTTGCCACCTGGGTGCTCAGCTCACCTCAGCGGGAGATGTGCCTGTTAGTTGTCAGTTGGTTCTGACCCCGTGGGGTTCTATTGGCAACACGGATCCCTTCATCGGGAGGGGACCTGAGGGGGGGCGGTGCTGGAAATGATCTGGATCGTGGTCCAGGTGGTGAAAATTCATGGAGCTGGAGCCTGTGTGCCGGAGTGCTTTCCTGTGCGTGACACTCTGCCCCTCCTCCCTCCCTCCCCACCCCAGCCAGGCTTTCTTCTTGTTCTGGCGTTTCTTCCCCTGCCAGGGACTCACCCCGCCAGCCCAGAGCGTCTGCCTCCTCCATCCCTCCTTCCCCTCCTCTACTCCTCCTCCTCCTCCAGGAAAAGTTGTCAGTTGGTTCTGACCCCGTGGGGTTCTACTGGCAACACGGACCCCTTCATCGGGAGGGGACCTTGGCGGGGTGCTGGAAATGATCTGGATCTTGGTCCAGGTGGTGAAAATTCATGGAGCTGGAGCCTGTATGCTGGAGTGCTTTCCTGTGCGTGTCAGTGACACTCTGCCCCTCCCCCCTCCCTCCCCACCCCAGCCAGGCTTTCTTCTTGTTCTGGCGGTTTCTTCCTCTGCCAGGGACTCACCCCGCCAGCCCAGAGCATCTGCCTCCTCCATCCCTCCTTCCCCTCCTCTCCTCCTCCTCCTCCAGGAAGTCCTGCCAGGAGCCCCTGTCGATGGGATGGATGGGATGGATGGGATGGATGGGACGAGGGGAGGCCGCCTCGCTTAGGTGGGAAGAAAAGGCCACCTTGCCTGCCTGCCCTCCCCTGGGCAGTTGCCACTGTCCGGAGGGTGAAGTGAGCCAGGCCTGTCACCTGCCCTCACGCTCACGGCCCAGCGAGGCTGCAGACGCTGACATGATCGTGTTTGGGACGTAGTGGGTAAAGGAAAACAGACTGCTGAGATGAATCTGACCTGTTTCTTTTTACGTTTTGGACGCTTGGCTGCTGGGAAATGTAAGGTTACGCAGGTGGCACACACTAAATTCCTATTGGACAGCGCTGCTCTAGGCCCTTCCAGAGCCAAACGCACACTCACGGGGCTCTCCCCAGCCTTCCCACCCACATCGGTCTGCTTTTGTTTTTCTTTTCTAAAGCCTTAGAACGGCTCTTTATCATTCCTGCCTGAACAATTGCAATGACGTCCAATTTCACTTTGGTGTTCTATTTTATTAAAATCTATTTTTATTGATTTCAGAGAGGAAGGGGGAGGGAGAGAGAGCTAGAAGCATCAATGATGAGAGAGAATCATCGATCGGCTGCCGCCTGCACGCCCCACACTGGGGATTGAGCTTGCAACCCAAGCGTGTGCCCCGACTGGGACTCAAACCGAGACCTCCTGGTTCATAGGTCGATGCTCAAGCCATGCTGGCCGGGCTGTCCCCACTTACAAAAGCAGCCACACAGAGCCAGCCCCCGAGCCGGCTCAGAGGACCTTCCTTCCTCTGTGCTGTCTCCCTTGTGCTTGAGCACAAGCTTAATAAAATCTGTCTGCAAATTCCTCTGGGGTTTCCTCTCTATTTATATTTTGGAGAAACGAAGAACCCCAACGCGGGTACCATGACAAGGTCCCAAACTCCTGACTCCTGCTCTCTTGGGCCTTGTATTCCTTCTTCTGTGGCAAAAATCATTCCCCATCTGTGAGGATGACGCCTACATTGACACCTCAGTTCAGTTCAATTCACGGGTTTCCATTTCCGCGTGTGCTTCTGGAGTGGGAGTCAGAATCCCAGTGGCTCAGGGAACTAGAAACATCTCTGGGGCACGGGTGCTTGGCTCAGGGCTCTGCTACCTTCACCTGTCTGATTCTCAGTCTCCCCCTGGCTATAGTGTTGGGAAACAGTACAGCCATTTCTCCAAAAAAACACACAAAACACTAATCATAAAGTTACCATGTGATCCACACACATATAATGGAATATTATTCAGCCTTAAAAAGGAAGGAAGTTCTGCCCTAGCTGGTTAGACTCGGTGGATAGAGCGTGGGCCTGTGGACTGAAGGGTCCCAGGTTCGATTCTGGTCAAGGACACATGCCCTGGTTGCAGGCTCGATCTCCACTGTGGGGCATGCAGAAGGCTGCTGATCCACGATTCTCGCTCATCATTGATGTTTCTATCTCTCTCTCCCTGTCCCGTCCTCTCTGAAATCAATCAATCCTATATATATTTAATCATATATATATTTAATCATATATATATATTTAAAAGGAATGCAATTCTGACACATTACAACGCAGATGCAGAACAGACGCACTTCCCGCTATGACCACAAGATGGCAGCATAGACTGAGCTTCCTGACAGGTGGTGCCGGTTCCTTTCACTTTCCCGGGGACCAAACCCTGAACCAAAGAGGTGGACGGAGGAAGGTCCTCTCTCTAGGGTCGGGCACCAGCGGGCGGCCTGTCCTGCGAGTGTGCGTGCCTGCTGAGCTGCCCCCTCGCGAGGTCTCCTCTGCGGTCCCCTTTCCAAGAGAGACCCAGGCGGGTGGAGGGAGCGCTGGGCAGGGGACCGGGCAGGTTTGGGTCCTGGTTCTGCACTGCGGGCTGGGGCTCGTGTCCTAGGTGTACCAGGAACGGACCATCACAGAGTCCAGCTCGTGCCCAATGCCCGTGAATATTCGTCTTCCTCTTCTCTCTCATGCAGTTTTCCCAAAGGGGAAACGATGGCCGCACTAAGGACCCGCCATGCACCACTCTCTATCTTTCTGGGATTCTGTGGCCCAGAAGAGGGTCGAGGTGAGGTTTCCCGGGCCACAGAGGGCCCTGCCCTCATCTCAAGGCCCACCTACTGCCCTAATGGAGGCAGGAGGAGCCCCATCCAGGCAGATGAAAAAACACTAGGGCCCTGGCTGGTTTGGCTCAGTGGATAGGGCATCTGCCTGGGGACTGAAGGGTCCTGGGTTTGATTCCGATCAAGGGCACATGCCCGGGTTGTGGGCCCAATCCCCAGTAGGGGGCGTGCAGGAGGCAGCCGATCAATGGTTCTCTCTCATCATTGATGTTTCTATCTCTCTCTCCCTCTCCCTTTCTCTTTGAAATCAATAAAAATACATTTAAAAACAAACAAACAAAACCCACGCTAGGTTTCTTGAAATCCCTGCCCGGTGACCTGGAGGACCTTCCACCGTCTGGCTGCACTTCCGGGAGGTGGTAAAAGGCGGAGGTGACAGGACCTGGCAGACAGGTGCCCAGCCAGCTGTACCGCTACTGCTACGTCCCTTCCTGCTCCTACATCTGACGATTCTAACCTGAGACGGAGAGCAGGGATTCAGGGATGCCTGAACTGTTTTGCCAGTGGAGCAGGCGAGAGGGGAGAGGACGGACAAAGATGTCTGTGGGGGTCAGGGGCGGCCTGGGGTCCCCGAGGCAGAGGGGTTGTGTAGGGGAGGGGAGGGATTGCTCCCTGAGGTTGAACCTTTCTCCCGGCAGGACACCTCTGGGTTCAGGGAGGCTGGGGCGTGTGGGGGCTGCGCCGGGCCTGGCCAGCAGAGGGCGCCCGCAGCACGCAGGACCCGGTCTTGGGTTTCCTCTCTTACTGAGCTGTGGGTGTCTGCACGTTCCCCTGGGAACAGATGGGGTGGGGGTGGGGTGCTGCTGGCTAAGTTGAGGGGCTGAGGGTGTCGTCACCGCTTGCAATTGTTGGCCTGTGTCCCTAGCGGCCATGGTGGATTTGCCTGTACCCACCACAGTGATCATTCATTCCACTAATGCCACGAACACCCTTTGGGGGTCAAACAACCCTTTCACAGGGGTCGCCTGAGACCATCAGAAAACGCATATATAATTACATATTGTTTTTGTGATTAATCACTATGCTTTCATTATGTTCAATTTGTAACAATGAAATTGGGGGTCGCCACAACATGAGGAACTGTATTGAAAGGTCACAGCATTAGGAAGGTTGAGAACCCCTGTTGTAGATGCTTCTTAGCAAGCTGAGGACATTCCTTTCTACCCCTGAAAGACTGAGTGTTTTTAATCCATGAACACAGCATTTTATTAATGCTTTTTATG